CCCCCCCCCCCCCCCCAGTTCTCAACAGTGGACTCTGCCCAGCAGGGCACACGCTGGCACAGCGCCTGTCCCTGGGGTTCGGCGAGTCCTTGGCCACAGCACTCTCCCTCAGGCAGCCCAGATGGAGCCACCCTCTGGCTCCAGCACAGGCCCTTGGGTGCTGAGGACAGCAGGCAGGAGACTCACCGCAGCCAGCTTGTCGAAGCGGGCGAAGAGCTCGTTGAGGGTCATGACTAGCTCCTGGGCAGTGCACTGGGATGCCAGGCTGGTGAAGCCCTCGATGTCAGCAAACAGGATGCTGGGGAGACAGGTGGAGGAAGACCCCCATGAGAGAGGGAGTTCAGGGGGACACAGCCAGGGCCACCCTCTGCCTTAGGAGAGCTGTTGGCCAGAAAGAGTCCAGGTGCAGGCAGGGGCAGGCGGGGGGCTCCAAATGGCTGCTGGGGAGCAGATCAAGAGCCCTGGCACCAGAGAGTTGAGGATGCTGGCCTCTCCATGCTGGCCGGGAGATATGCTAGAGTCCTGCTTCCTGTGCTCTAATTGTGCCCTCACTCCCACTCAGGAGGAAAGATGGGACAAAGGCATATGAAGTCTGGGAGTATGCATCTGCCTGAGTTACCAAAGTCAGGGGCCTGCCCCCCTCCCCCAGTTCTGTCACCTCTTGGGCCTGCCCTGTTTAACTCTTGAGCAAACCCCTCAAGGTAACTGGGGCCTTTGATTCATCTGCTTGGAAAGTGTTTCAGGCCTAAAGGGCAGCCATATTAAGGTCTCACCTCTCCACCCTACAGATAGGGTTTTAGACCCCAAGCCCTCCATCCCAAGGGAGTCCTCTAGAAGGGACAGACTAAAGCGGCCTAGGGGAGAGAGACAGAGAGGAAGACACAGCCAGCAAGCTTCTCTGGAAGCCTCCAACTCATCCCTGCCAGCAACTTCAGCCTCATCCCCAGGCACGTAGTCAAATGTACCAGCCGTTCCCCGCAGTGTGCATTGTGGATCTTCTATCCGTTTCTCTGGCTTTTGTTCAGGAGACTGAAAACGTCTTCCTTTTCTCCCACAGCACATTGCCAGAGGTGAGTCCTCAGGGCTGGAATGTGTAAGAGCCCAGAGAGTTGTTTTCTTTCCCCCCGGATGGACACAAAAATGTAATCACTCTCAGGTACTGAGATGCTCCCGGTGGCCCGGCTCACGGCTGGGAGTTTCCAAACTGTCTTCTCACCAAGTCCTCCAGGCAGCCCCAAAGCCAAGGCTTGGTGTCTTCTCACAAATGAGGAGGCTGCGCCTCCGGGAAGAAGCTGCAGACAGCAGTGTGGTGGGCTCCTTCGCCCAGGCCCGCGTTCTCCCCACCGCACCGCGAGGCTCTGAGGCACCTGACTCTTCCTTTTTCAAATGAAGAGCGTAGAACTAAACAGATTTTGTCATTTTATTTGGAAAATGTGTGTTGGTAAATTAAGCTTGTCTTTCTATCCTGATGCTTGATCTCTGGGGCCTTACTGACCCTGGGGAGCCTGTCTCACCCCGACTAGGCTTTCTTGGAGATAAGTCAAAACTCACGCTGGGGTCAGAGCCCCGCACCCCAACCAGGCTCTCACACCCGGGCCACTACTCCCCTGCCCTAATCACCCCAGGGACAAGTACCGGACCCGAGATAGTCCCTCTACTCCACAGCCTGATGAAATTATTCAAACTAGCCCATCCCAAACCTACTTATCCTGCCTCACCCATTCCTTTCCGCAGAAACCCCAATAAACGCTCTCATCCACAGTGCCCTCTCACCCTGCCTCCTGATCCTCCACAGCGCTTCTGCACATGGCCCCCATGGTGTGTGCTGTGCTCCCTTCTCTTGGGATGAATAACAAACAATCTTTTCAATGGCAGCTGCCTCCTGATCTATTTGCCTTTGTACACCTGGATAATAATAAAACCTACCTTTTAAAACAGCTGGACACTGTTCTGAGCACTTTGTGTGCATTAACTCACTTAAACATCATGACCATCCTATGAGGTTAGTATCTTCCTTTTACAGGTGAGAAAACAGACACAGAGAGATTGAGTCAATTGCCCATGGCAACCGGGCCAGGCTGTTGGCCCCACAGCCAACTTAAACCAATAAAAGCATAATTCAGTGGTCTGGCATTGTATATGGGGCAGAGAGGGGCAGAGGGGCACTGTGGGTAGGCAAGTCCAGGACTCCATCAAGAGGGGGCATGGTTAGCAGCTGCTTGGCAGATCACACGAGGTAAGGTGGAAGCAGAGACGAGCCAAAGGGGGGGAAAGAAGAAAAGCTGAGGAGAAAGAAGAGGAACGGAGAGGAGATACACTGCTCCATCAGGCCACAGGACTAAGAACAGCAGACAGACTGCTTCTGAGTGGACAGCTATGCAGGCAGGGGCTCAGGAGATGCAAAGATTTGGGGTCTCCATCAGGCTTTGATGCCTGGGGTCTGACGGGGCAGATGGGCTCAGCACCCTGCCCAAAGGGAGTGCATGGTGTCTGCATGCTGGGTAAGAGGAGCAGGTGAGGGGAGGCCGCTACGCTCCAGATGCTGATCTCAGGCCCTAACTAGGTGCAGCCCCCTCCCCACCCACCTGCTGCTTCTCCAGCTCTCAGTCTCTTAGGCAACTGCCCCACTCCATTCAAGAACAAGGGAACCAGCTCTCTCAGTCTATGTGAAAGCACCATCACATAGTTGCTCTGGAAATTCTTTAACTCTCAAGACACCAAAGCCAATTGAGGTTGGGATCAAGACCTGTTGCTCCAGAGTTAAGAAACATATGCATTCAGCTCAAGTCAGTTTTTCAAATGCAAAGCCAGGAGATACCAGGCCCAGCGGTAGCTCCATGCAGAGTAAAGCTACGGAGCAGACGCCTGGCCTCGGGGGCTGATGAGACCCCCACAGCAGGAAGAGAAAAACGTCCCTGAACCCGAACCGAACCCAGCAAGGCAGGATGACTACTACTAGGGTCAGGTAACCCACAGCACCGGGCCAAAAAGAGGAGTGGAGGGAGAGAATGGGCTGCCCCTAGAATCAGGAGTGTGGACCAGGGGTTCAGAGGGCGAGTACAGGATCCATCAAGAGGGGGCACACTCTGTAGCTGTGACCCCCACACCTGCGGAGCTTACCTAGCTACTCAGGAGGGACACTCTGGCAGGGCTGGCCGTGGGCAGGCCTGCCATCATTCTCCTTCTCCATAGGGGACCTTGCTGGGCCTTAGAGCACTGTCCTCCACAGCTGCTCACATCCTGCTGGACCAGTGGGCCTTAGACTTGGAGTCTGTTAGAAACACCAGGCACTTTCACAGGAGTGGTCCCTGAGCCCCACCCCCAGAGATTCTGGCTTAATTAGCCTGAGGTGGGGCTCTGCTCTTGATGGATTCTGTTCCGTTTTGTTTTATTTTAAGCTTCCCTGGTGATTCTAACATACAGCCACGGTTGAGAGCCACTGCACTAGTTTAAATGTCACTTCAAGGAGACCTTCATCACCCTATGTGAATCTATAACCCCTCCCATGTCTGTCTCCCTTCCCTGCTGTATTTTTCTCCACTGTACATTTCACTATTTAATATATTATTGCAGGTGTTTTTGTTATTATTATGCTCCTGTCTCTCTCTGTCCTCGCTAGAATGCAAAGTCCTTGAGGGAGGGATTTTGGCCTCGTCCATTCACTGCCACATCTCAGCTACCAGCACAACGTCTGGCACATGGAATAAATGTTCAGTAAAATTCACAACTGGATAACCCTCTGACTGAGGACGGGTCACATCCCCCTCGCCCTCTGCCTTATTCCCCATCCTCCCCCGCCCCCGCCCCCCCCTGCACAATGCCCAGCCCGCAGAAGCTGCCTCTATTAGTCTCCTGCCATAGCAAAGTACTACAAGCTGCGTGGCTTGAAACAACAGAAATGTGTTCTCTCACAGTTCTGGAGGCTAGAGGTTGGAAATCCAGCTGTCACCTGGGCCGTCCTCCCTCTGAGACTCTGGGTAGGACCCTTCCTCGCCTCTTCCTACTTGCTGGTGGTGGCTGCCCACCCTCGGTATTCTGGGACTCAGGAGCTCTGTCACTCCAGTCTCTGCCTCTGTCCTCACACAGCGCTGTCCCTGTGTATCTGTGTCTTCGTCTTCTTTTAAGGACACCACTTATATTGGATTAGGGGCTCACCCTACACTAGCATCCTAATCTGATTTCATCTGCAAGGACCCTATATCCAAATAAGGCCACATTCACAGGGACCAGGGGTTAGGACTCCAACATATTTTGTAGGGAGACACAGTTCAACCCACAACAGTGCCTAATATAGGTTTGTTGAATGGAAGAGAATATGCACAGTTTGAATGCAAGCAAGAGGCAAGGCCAGCAATTCCAACAGTTCTTCCTTCGACCCCATGGGGCCTCTTGGGATCCCAAGCAGGTTGCCTGAGACAGGAGCCTGTGGAGCCCAGGGCCTGGCATCAGCAGACACCACAACGACATCCACGGGATAAATGGCAGAATGGTTGCAGAGGCCATGAGCAGCTTCCTGGTTAATGCCAGGAGGTGTCGGAAACAACATCGACCACGCCAGTGTGTGAGGGGCCTGCAGGTGGCTGAGAAAGCCAGAGCCTCCCTCCAGACTGCTGGGATCTACTCTTTGTACCCCCCCCTCCACCCCCACTGCCGCCGCCGCCTGGGGCTTTCAACAGACACTGAGGAGTCAGAGAAGGTAGGCTGCTGGCTGGCTGACGAGTGGGTGGTGAGCCAGCCTGCTGGAGAGGAGAGGCTCAGAGCAGGCTCCTCACTTGTGCAGAGGTTTGGACAGGGTCTCTGAGGTCCCAGCTCTGAACATTTATGGAAATTCTGCCACCTCCACGTTCCCCCCACCTCCTGTCAAAGGCAAAGTCACCCTCCTCTGCTGCCTTGGGGGAGGCTTCTACTCAGCGGCTGTCACTCTGGAAGCTCCTCTGTTTTTGAGGTTGACCCAACTGCAGACTTCTCCTGGCCGAGGTTTCCTGATGTGCTCCTTGGTAATCCTCAGGGCCATTGTACAGCCACGCCAGGCCCAGACCTGCAGTCCGGTGTTCGTTCATTGATCAGCTCCCACTTGAGAGCTCATCTCGGCAACGCAATCAGGCCCTGGCGGTGGGCACGCGGAAGCAGGGTCGGCCGGCCCTGGCAATGCACTCCTCCCTAATTGCCTGCCATCCATCACTCGTGGTTGCCCACCTCCTACTCCAGAGGCAAGAGCAGGCAGGCACTTCAGCCCAATTACCACAATAGGTCCTTCAGTGTTCCGTCGCAGCTTGGCTCAGCTTTTCCACACGTATT